TAGTGTAGAAGCATTTCAAGTGGCGACACCCTTTCAAGATAAACCAGCGTAATTCAGTAAGTTGGAAATAGAAATAGGTAACCTTCAACCCGTGCTTCAGAGAAGTTGAGACTTTGGAGATGAACCATTTGCTGCAACAAACATCTGGAATTATCATCAATGATGTAGTACCAGTTATCTCAAAAATAAATAATGATTTGAGCCCTTGTATCCAATTAATATTCTCCAGAAACTCACAGCCCCTTAAGATAAGCATTGCAAGCTCTTGCATGTGTGAAAAGGATTCTGGTAGAGATTTGAGCATGGGCTTGAAGATGCCAAGAACATTGAGACCATTCAGGATACGAAAAAATGCATCCGGAACTTCATTGCCTAGAAAATTGCCATGAAGAAATAATGATGGGATTTTCTCTGATTTGCTGCTATATCCAACTATTCTTATCACGCCATCAATCAGTGCGATGTTCCCAAATCCTTCCCAAATTTTGTCCTTCAAAGCAGAAAACATTGAGCAACTCTCCGTACCTATAAATCTTTGGGAATTTCTACTTGAATAATGTCCTCCATCTCTGTTCTTGTGATAAATTTCTTCATATCTGATCCACCAATAAGGTACTTTCATTGTACAGCCCACCATTGCAACATAGTTGGATTGCACATTTTTGGAAAAGAATCCTTGAATCATGTAGACTTCTTCATAGGTAGTAAGAACAATTCAAAAGTAACTTAAATTCATCAAAGAAATTGGGAACAAGAGGAAAAGAAGTAGGACTTCTTCTCGGGTTGGATTCCCACGTGGGCAGGAATTCTTTTACCTCTTGAACTCTTCCCGCAAGTTCTTTTCCTCCTAGGACGCGTTTTTAGACTTCTTCTAGGTTTTTTCCTCTTAACCGCATGTTGTCTTTCTCTTGAAATGGAATTTTTCAAGAAATTCAAGAAGAGAAATGGTTTAGGAGTGGGACTCCTCATGGGGGAAAGATTCCCACGCGGGCAGGGCTCTCCTGTCCAGTTCCTTCTCGGCCATGTGTGTGGAGCATGTCGTGGGGCCCTCAAGGCCAAGTAGGCCAAGACTAACTTCCTTTTCGGCCAAGACTTGGCCTTTGTCCTTGCCATACAATCTCCCAAGCCTGCGGGTTCTCAAGTGTACCTCAAGCCCACTTTCTTGAACAATCTTGGGCCTTTCTTGATATTAGGCCAGTATAAAAAACCAATTTATGTTGAAAGTCAAATCCACGTTGAAGTTGGAGTCGGGGAAGTCCTTGCAAGAGGAGGATTCCTCTTTTCGGTGGGAATCATTCTCATCGAGGGATTCCTCCTGTCCGCAGGAATCCTTCTCAGTGAGGGATTCCTCCTTCCCCTGGGAAGTTGCTATCCTGGTGGTTGCTTCTAGCTTGTAGGATATATCTCCTGTGCCTTTGGGAATTTTTTTGGCTTAGTTGTGCTCACATCAAGCACCTTTGCTTTCCTTGTAGATACCTTTAAATAATCCTTTTAAAATCTGGATTTCTAACTTGTCTATTCAAAAGAGAGAATGTCTCCGTTGCAGACAAGGGTTTCATCTCCACTGCCTTCAAGTAAAGACCAATAGGATTTTCAGAGTAATCTATGGTGGTGACTAAGACTGTAATGAAGGCTGCTTAAAATCAAGAACCAAGGATTCAAATCCTGATACAATTTCATTTACTTTCATCCCCTTATAAACTCCATCCAATATTAGAAGACATCTCTTCTTATGAATAGCTGCTGATGGTTTCTGTTTCAGATAATCTTTTCTTTGCATTTCCTCATCATCCGCATCCGACTCCTCAGTTGGCAGACATACAGGCAACTGAGAACCAATACTCTCACGTGGAGATTTCTTGTCATGTTTTCTGCTCATAGAAAGCCAAAAACATAAATCAAACGGACTTTTTTCCTCTACAAGATCATGAACCTTCTTTGCCATCCATGTTTTCCTTATTCCTGGTTTCCCAACAAGACACACTACTATGACATGGTCAGCATCCAGTATGAATTGTATGCGCAAACCCAGTGTGTCCCCATTGGCCATGGTTGGCCCTGTTGCAAAATATTTTATGACAGAAGTTACAACTTAAGATTACAGGAATCACGGTAAGAATGGTGAAAGAGGGTGTACCTAAGAGTAGGAGGGGGAGAATGCCCAAAATTTGATGACTTTTTTACATGCTTCTTTCTCTTTGTTTGGGCAATACAAAACTGGACTATGACCATAAGTTCTGGAATTGAGAAACAATGATGACAGTCAGGCCTGTCTTGGGTTGCCGAGGTTCCCTCCCCAAACGAAACACATGGCCTCTCAGAAAACAAATGAAATTACACTTGAATGAAGACTTTCAGAACTTTGAGAAGTATCTCCAGGTTTGTTATGATTGCAGTTTTATTTCATTGTATGTTTCTAATTCATGCCCGGGGTTTGTTATTTTCTTTTTTATATTAAAATCTAATGGCAACAGAGCATGCTATTATTTTTTGCAATTTAAAGCATAGTTATCAACTATACTTGTTAGCAATTGTATTTTCTACTTGATATCTCTTGCATCAAAGTTGGAAGATTTTTAGAAGGATGATCCATGTATCAAGTAATTTCTACTAGAAATTTATTGTTCAATCTCCCTTTTTCTACTACTTTCAGACCATTTCTTTTGCCCCGTGGAATCTCATGCATGCAATTCTTATAGTGTTGTCTAAAGGAAGCTGAATGTTGTTCCTTCTTTGATGAGTTGCCTTATTGTAATTTATAAGCATACTTATCAACTATACTTGTTAGCAACTGTAATTTCTACTTGATATCTCTTGCATCAGAGTTGGAAGATGTTCAGGAGGATGGTCTGTGCATCAAGTAATTTGTCCATGAAATTTATAGTTTAGGACTCACTTTTTCTACTACTTTCCAACCAATTCTTTTGCCCCATGGAATTTGCTGCAAGCAATTCTTATTTTGTCAGTATAAAGGAAGCTGAACATTGATCCCTCTTTGATGAATTGCCTTATTATAAGTGTTTGTGTTTGGTGTGCTTGTTTTTGCCTTATTATTGAACATGATCACAGTGAGTGTTTTTCTTCCTTATTTTCACCTTTTATATCATCTTGGGATATTTCATAATTTTAGAGGAGCTATTATTAAATTTCAGCATTGAAAGAGACATCGTTTAACTCTATTAAATGAAGTATGCAATATGAACTTCCATCCATTTGTCATATATGAAGATTAACTCTATTATATTAACTTAATATAAGTAATTAAATGATAAAATAAATAAACTCTGCCAATCTGAAATGCTGATCTAAAAATAGTTTTTCCCGTTGACTCTTCACTTTGCTTGTCTTCTTCTATCTCTTGGCATAATGTCAAATGCTGATTTCTCATAGAAAAAAACCATCAGATCATTTAAAGAAACTGATGAAATATTTTCCTTTCAGTAGATCCATGACGTAATTCTACCAGCTTTGCTTGATAATTTGGTGAAGATGAGGAACTCTGTCTCCACACTCGAAATCCACAAGACAAGTGATGCTACTATCAGCAACTCAGATCTGGACGATCAACTCAAGGAATAGGAGCTGGAAATCAACAAGCAGATGCGAGCACTTCTCCTTCCCAACCTCGACAATATTCTGATAGAAATTGAGGAGGCTGAGAAAGCAGAGGAAGATCTTCGTGCAGCTGCACAAGGTAGAGAAGCCACTGAAGAAGCTCGTACCGCCGCCACGGAAGCCTGCGATAGAAGCTTTGGAAGAAGCCTGGCAAGCTGAACGAAAAGCTCTCGAGTCTGAACGCCCGGGCCTATGAAAAACAGACAGATGATAAAACATCTGCCTTGCATACCATTCAGAAGATTCAAATCCAGAATGTTTATTGAGAAAGATTACCACGGAGTTGAAAGGGAATCTCATCAAATTGCTTCGCATCACAAGCCAGATGATGCTCAAACCCAACCCTCAAAGATCACAGCTGCAAACGAGCAGAAAGAAGATGATCAGGAATGGTTGGTCAAGTGGTCAGATCTCCATCTGCAGGATGAAAATTTTTGCGAGAGCTCGGCCTTCAAAGCGATTGAGGAGCAATATGTAAAACTGGAACCTATTTTGAAGGTATGTTTACTATTTTTGGTCATTTTACCAGATAATGTCGTCATAAAGAAAACTGCTATAATCTACTGGTGGATTGGAGAGGGATTTTTAGTAACAGAACCACGTTCAACAAAGACAGTGAAGGACACTGCAAATGAGTTGTTGGAGGAGCCCATGCCGAAGGGCTTCATTGAGCCTGTCAACAAGAAGATAAGCCCCATTGTGCAGTGATTTCGAATGAACCCTTTTTGTGCACCTTGTGCTGCTTATGTTGGTCTAGAAGAAAAAATTCTTTGATATTGATTCTGTTGGGAACTTCCAAGCAGATTGTTTTACACACTCCAAAAGAGCATGCCTGGTTAGATCTGAGCAATGTTCTTCCCAGTATAAATTAAGAAATAAGAGCCCTGAATATCTGCAGACCTTATTCAATGTGAATAAATCCTATATTGACTTGAAGAGTTTCTGGCTGTCAAGAGCCAAATATCTGAATGTTCTTCATCTGGGTCGGTGGCAACTCTCCTCCAAGAATTACATTGAAGTGACCAACACAGAGTTCTTGAGAACACTGGGTGATTTGAAACATTTGAGGTACATAAACTTGCAAGGAATATCTAGAATTCATGAGCTTCTATCATCAATTTCAAACTTCGCCACTTGAAGATCCTGGATCTTAGAGCCTGCCGCAATCTGGAGAAACTTCCTTCTGGAATATCCTTGCTTGAAAACATGGAATATTTAGACATGTTCAAGTGCCATCTGATAGGCAACATAACATGCTTGTGGGCAACACTCACAAAACTCCAAAGTACTCAAGGGGTTTGCCATTTGGAATCCTAAAGCCAATGGACAAAGTATAAGTTATCTCAGTTGACAAAACTTAGCAAGTTGAGAAAGTTGAGCTTGAACATATATGAAAGCATGGATGATGACATAGCAGAGCGTGAATTAGAGCATTTGGGAAGTTTCATTCCCTGACATGGCTAGGAGTTCCTCCATCAAAATCTCGCAAAGCTAGCACTAAATTAGCAGAGGCAATACTATGTCACATCTTCCGCCCACGTTAGAGAAACCGGATCTTTGTTGCTTCCCTTATTACGAATTGCCCAGCTGGCTACAAGGAATGGAGACACTCAAAAAACTGTACATCAGAGGTTGACAACTTCCTTCGATGACAAATTATAGGATTCATGGAATTAGCATTTTACGTCTCAAGTTTCTGATTGACTTGGAGATAACCTGGCCTCAGCTTCCCTGGCGTTGGTTTGCTTTGAAAAGGTTAATTGTCCTAAACTCGACGGTTGTGGAGAGTGGAGATAGGACCCACCAGGAAGCCTCTCCCAAGCTTAATAATTCTCTTACAAATGACCCTTGCAAACTCAAGATTGTTAATTTCTTTCCAAAAGAGTCAAAGAAAAAGTGTTTCTATTTCTTAGAAAATACAAAAAAAAAAAAAAAAAAAAAAAGAGAGAAAAAATTGATTGTAATTTATTTTCTTTCAGCAAATTCATGCATTTGTTAAATATGTTATATAAATATATCAATTGTAAAGTGTATGTCTCTCCCTTTTCACCATATTCAGGAAGTACTTTCTCGTACTTGCGCAGTAGCCAATGGACTGTGAATCTACCTCATTGGTAGAAACTCCACGGTGATATACGATCCTTGGACCGCAAAAGCTGTTAATGAGTATGACAAAAAAAAAAAAAAAAACATACAGGTGGCATGCAGTATGGATGCATTTGTAAAATTTTAACTTATGACAAACACTTGATCTTTTTTGCTGTCTGTTTTTTAATCATGGCTTTGCATATGATAAATTTTGAAAATGTTTATTCTTTAAACTTTAAAAAGTATATTCAAACCATCTTAAGAGTAATATAATCAATCAAGAGTCATGAAATATATGGCATCATTTGTGGAGAAAATTTTGTTTGGACTCCATAAGTTAAAATAGATATAATCAAATTTATAATTGGTCTTATACAATTTTTTTTTTTATTGAACTTCATCTACATTGCTCACGAAAATTCATAATTTTCTTTTCATACTGGTTTAATATATGATGTTAAAATTTAATTAATTAAATAATACTATATTTTTAAACTATGATTACATGATATAATCATTAAGAGTGATCTAGATTAATTAATTTAATATTTTTTTTTAAATTATAAAAACTAATTTAATGTAAAACGAAATAAATAGTTGAGATTAAAATTTTATTTTAGCTTTATATAGAGCTTGCCATTTTTTTTCTTATAATTTATCCTTGAATTATTTTTTATCCCAAAAAAAAATAATAAGCAGCTTAGAATGAGCTTAATTATAGGCTTGATTATCCTTTTCGGAGTAAGAAAACAAAAACAATTTATGAAAAGTCAAATAAAAAAATTTTTTTAAAAAAAAGACTAAAAACTGATGAAGAAATAATTGTCTTCTTATTACATTCACGTAAAGAAGGTATATGCATGTATTATATATTTTTTTTTTCTCTCTTTTTAAAACTTCAAAAGTTCAAGTGTTTTGAAATGTGTCTTTCATATAATGGGTAGTTTATAAAAATATATATATAAAAAATTAAATTAACATTATGTCAGCTGCATTGACGTAATTATAAATTTCAAGGTAACTATCATATTTTAAAAATAAAGTATTTTATCAAATAATTTAAATAGTCGGAATCACATAAACAAAATAAAACAAATTTCTAAAGATAAAAAGTGAAATAATATTTTTATTACTTTTATGAAAATAAAGTATTTATATGTTATTATATAAAAAAAAAAATTATTTTTAGAAGACTAAATAACATATAATGAATCAGAGAACACTCTACAAAGACCAGATTATCTTTATATGCAAACAAGTTTATTCAATTAGTCATATTTTATCTTTATTTAAACATTTGTATTATCACAATTTCGTAATTAGCAAGTTGAGTTGCTTTGCGAAAGGATTGTTGTCCTATATGCAAGAATATTGTCTAAGTTTGACGTAAGTTCTATGAAATATAAACTCGACTCAATTTTAAATATACAAAATTTGAAATCTTTAGGACTTAGAATAGATTTACTAAGTTTACTTTGTTTCCAATCCTTTTTTATGAAACCCTGACTTAAATTATATATACAAATAATACATATATATATATATATAATTTAAAAATATAGTATATATTTAATTAACACTAAAATATTTAAATATATATTTTATATTTGTTACTAAAATCAAAATATATATTATATAGCCAAGTTAGGTTAAGAAGGATTTTTGTTTTTATATCTAATTTGACTTGGTCTTTTTTTTTTTTTTGTTTTGACCTACTATTGAACGTCTTGATTATATTAGACATATTAAATTTGATGAATAATTTTTCCTCCAATAAAACACTCCCTTTCTTTAGTTATCGGACTCACACCATGTAAACATGTAACATCACCATGGCTATAAGTCATAAACAATTTAAATCATTTTTCATTTCGGTCTTAAAATCAATTTTAGTTCTCTAAGAATTCAAATTCCTACTAAATCTTTATCTCGATATAAATCTAACTAATTTCAGCAAAATCCCATCTTTTTCAACAATTCAAATCACTATTAATGTTCTCAAGCCAATCACATTTACATAAATATTTGCACGTGATTCTTGATATCTTAGGGTTCATGCCCTTGTTAATATATGAGAATCTCATACAGGATATTGACTTCTTAATATATCTACATATCCATGCACGATCACTCAATCCACATGTCAACTTCCCTTATCCTAGAGCTTCAAACTTCTGCTATCTCCAATTATTTCTTTGTTTGAATTCCCACCCACTCTTTGCATATATGCTTCCTCATCCTTAACATTTTTGAATGTTGAAGATCTCGTGTCAATGTCACCATTATTTTCTCCATCTGATTAATACATGTACAGTAACTCCCATCCATCATGTCACGCTTTTCTTTCCCAATAGTTAAAATAGCCACAAAAAATCCTCCCTTGCCCATACAATTAATCATTCTCTCGATTTTCATTTTTTCACCGTTCACTGTCCCAAATCTTTTGCTCATTTGATGGTGGATTCCTGTTCATTTTTTCATATCTAAATAATCTTATCATACTTTCAAAATTCAAAAATCAAATTTAAATTTTCCTTTTTTCAAGCCACTAACTCTTTCTTTTAATTCTAAAATCCTCTTTACCAATATCTCTTCTTTTTATCTTCAATCTTGCCATTACTCTAGTCCTACCTTATCAATTTTGCCTTCCCTAAAAAATCTCTAACCTCTTGCTACCATTCTTCTATTTCCCTCTTCCTCTCTACCTTGTATTTTCCTAATTCATATAATTGACAAAACTCTAATGCATCCTCTTTCAACCCTTTACATTTTCATACTCCACTAATAATAAAAACTAGCCCGCTAACACTCTCCATGGTATTAAGACTCGATAAGTTGCGAAAAGCAAGCTAATCTTACTTATTTTTCTTTTTCTTCTTCTCTTAACTACTCATAAATTGAACTAATCACTTTCGCTCAAGCCAAAACCTTTAAAGTATGGCAGCTAACCATTAGTGAAGAATTTTAGACCATCTTTGCCAATTACACTTGACCTTAAATACTAAACCTTCTAAATTGCAATTCAATTGGTAATAAATGGATATTTAAAATTAAAAGGCACTATGATGACATTAGTAATCACGACAAAGTTTGTCTTGTAGTAAAGAAATTTCATCAACATGAAGTAATTGACTATGAAGATATATTCAGCCATATAGTCAAGTATATTACCATTTGTCTTCTAATTTTTTTTGTTATCCCCTTTCACTAGAATGTTCAATAGTTGAATGTTTCCAACACTTTTTTTACATGGTCATATTGAAAAAAAATTATACATGATTCAACTCATTAGTTTGTTGGATAAAGATTTTCTTAATCATGCTTATAGACTCTATAAAACACTCTAAGGTCTCAAACAAGCGCATCATTGTTTAATCACTTGAACCACTTTCTATAAAAATTATTTTTGTTCCCTCAAAAGTCGATCGTTTCATCTTTATCTCTAAACGAGGACCAAGTAATATTTTCCTCATTTCTGTTGATGATTTAATTGTTTAAGGAAATTCTATTGCAGTTATTCCTCAAATGATCCACACTCTTCAAGATGATTTGTTATTAAACATTAATTGAAGCTTCATGACTTCTTCAGTTTGAAAATCTTATCTACAAAAATAATTTTATTCTGTCTCAGCGAGACAATCTTTTCCGGCTTGTTTGCGAAGACAAACATGAGCCACTCTAGGGATTATTCTACTCTAGTAGTTGCCACCTCAGTCCTTATCAAAGTTAGAAGTCAAGTTTTTCATGACCGTTAAAAATACAACTAACTTATTAGTTCCTTATAATATACAACCCTAACTAGACCTAATTTGGCATTCTCTCAACAAATTGTGCCAATTCATTCATATTTATTCCCTTGATTATTTGACTATTGTCAAGCAACTTATTTGAGCTCTACATCTTAATGTATAGTTTATCCCTGTATTAATTTCTTTATAATTTTTCTTTGATGCTAATTAGAGAGGATTTTTTGACAACTACATATCTATAATGGCTTCATGGTATACTCGGGTTATCTTGATTGCTAACGAAGCTATTGTTAGTGCCACCATTAAACTTTTATGGTTACCCTCACTATTTAAGGAACTCAACATTTCTTCTATTTTACCTCGACCCTTTAGTGTGATAATATTAGTGTTGTTTATCTCACTATGAGGAAATCAATTCACAAAGAGGAAATGACATCAAAAACAGCCAATTAGGACAAACTCACAAGATAGGAATAAAACTGAGAGCAAAGAACAAAGACCAATGCTAGTTTATAAGCGGAGAACGACCAGCAACATGTGGTGTAATCTAGAGTAAAAGGGGGCAGGCATCAGCAATCGACCGAAATGGAAAATTAGTTGTGTGTCATTAATCGATGAATATAGATGGTACATGGCACAAGTTGTAACACCCAAAAAATTTCTTTTCATTTTTATTATTATTATATTATTTTATTTTATTTTAATTTATTCTATATAAATATAATTTAGTATTAATAGAATTTAATTTAATTTAATTTAATTTAATAGAAATAATAATAATAATAAGGGGTAAAAATTATTTAGGAATTTAATTGAAAATAATTTTGGGAAAAATGGGTGAAATTTTGGGTTCTTGTAGTATTTTTGAAAGAAAAATTAGAAATCCACGGTCAAAATATAATTTTAAAAAGTTGTGCCACGTCAGCTGTCCGGTCAGCAGTCCCAGCCAACCAAGACGCGCCAGGTGGCAGAGACACTGGCGCGGGAGGCCACGCTGGAGGGAGCCACGTGGGCGATTCGCGTGCGAGTAATTAAACGGCTGAGATCCGTTCCCGCACGCACGGACAGCCCAGATCAAAAACACGCAAACGTGCACAGACGACCCA